TTTACGATGAGCGAGTTAATTATGAGTTGATGTAGATACGATTTGCATGACACACAATGATAGGAATATCGAGCATGTGGGCTCAAAAAGCAGCCACTGAAGAAAAGTCACAATGGATTATTACCAGATGATTTCTGGCCAGATGGAGAAAATGAACTAAAAGCTGACCTTCAGCGAGAAGCTCCAGGACGTTGATAGGATCATAACTCTCAGCCACAGACCAAAAACCCCTGAATCTTCCAGTTGATCAACCCATGCCCCATCCCCGAAGGGATACATTCAGGAAATATGGAAAACTGGATGAGAAAGAGGAAGCAGGATACCTACCGATGTGTGAGTCATATCTAACCACCAAGACTGATCTATGGCAAAGGAAGGGTAATAAAAGCCAACAAAAGATCCCTGCACAACTCTACTGGTCATGAAAAGCCCACATATGAGCCTGACCTAAGTGGCTAAGGCTACCATGGAAGATTACATCCCCAAAAGTGATAGAAGTTCACAAGCTGTAATCAAAATGAAACCCACTGAACGAAGTCAAAGAGTAAACAGGCACACCAAAATGAGATGCGCATAGAAATACCCAAATAGACAAGATACTGGATAGGTCACAGTACGGACTTCTCCAACTTGATTAACAGCTTATTATAGCTGCCTCCAGGAGCAGCTGATAATGGTAACAAGCAGACTCTTATTTATAACGAGAGAACAGTAGCCAGTCGACTCCAAGGTACACTTCACTCATGAAATTGAAACTAAGAACTCTATTCCCTTTCTGGACATTCTTGTTAACCATAATGCTAACAGCTTTTCAACTTCTGTCTATCGTAAAAACTCATTTACTGGCCTTTTCACTCAATTTGACAGTTTTATACCCTTTCCTTGCAAATGAAATCTTATTCTCTGTCTACTAAATAGAGCCTACAAACTTACCTCATACTATTTAGCCCTTCACAAAGAAACTACTTCGATACAAAACATTCTCTTTCGAAATGGCTATCATATGCATTTCTTGGAGAAAATAACTTTCCCATTCCTAACTAATTTGTTTGTCAAACCACCTAAGATACCCACTGTACCCAAACTTCCCTTATACAACTGCTTATCATATCTTGGGAGACAGGGCTCCCTTATCTTGAAACCGTTGATAAAATTATGTAACACTTACTATTCCCAAATTGACCTGACAGTCATTATGAAACCCAACTTTAGACTAAAAAGTTTTCTTCTGCTACAAAGATTGTTTGCGGACTGCCTATTGTTCACATCTCATCTACTTATACACGTGCAGAGACTTACTGTAAGGCCTCCTATATTGGTGCAACCAAACGTCACCTTAAAGTACGAGCATGTGAAGACATGGGCATATCTATAAAAACTGGAAGGAAGGTTACAAACCCTCCCAACTCTGCTATCTATCAACATAATACAGAAACAGGATATCCAATTTCTCTCTCAAACTTTAAAATTCTTTCAACAGCCAAACATGATATTGAACATCTTATAAAAGAAACATTATACATAAAAACTCTTCTCCTGTCCCTAAATAACACACAGCCTTCACTGGATTTAAACATATATTAACTATTTCACTTGCGCCTCAGTTTTAATTTTTTCATGTTATATTTGTATATTTGATTTGTTTATTTCTTATATATATATTTCTATTGTAATTACAAATATGGTTTGTTTGTTTTGTAACCCCAGATTACTGATGATGAAATAATGATGATTCCGAAATGTCTAATAAATGCTTCCTGTTATTACATTTGTGTTTTATTATCACGATTCACAAGAAGAGCACCAAAAGAGAAAATGTCTGAACATGAGTACTGCCAAACAAGAAGTGGTTGAATTGAATAGAGAGAGAGCCACATGCATTACAAGAGTATTTTGCACTCTTATTGGTAGATCATTTGCATGAGAGACCCATTGGAACCAGATAATTCTAATGGAAGGAAGAGAGAAGGCTTGTGGCATGCATAAAAAAATTGTTTGCATATAGAGAGCAGCACTGAGCAAGACTAGCTATTTATGTGAGAGAAAGTAATATACCATTTTGGAAGGCTGGTGTTAGTAAATGTAGTGCATAGAACTGTTGTTCTATATACCCTTGTTATATTATCATGGTCAGGTCAGGTATTATATCATTTTATTATTTTTCATTTGTTCTTTTGTGTCTTTATGGGCATTGGCTTTTGTTTGTTTTATGAGAAAAGTGATGTACCCAATACGACATGCCTTTTACAAACATCTGGCATTAATTGTTGCTCTTAAAAAGTTATATAGTGATGAGAGGTGTACAGAGTATCCTTGGTAAAGCACTTGGTTAGAGAAAAAGAGAGATAGTTAATTTCCAAAGAAATATATATCAACGACTATAGTTTAGCACAGAAACTAATGTTTATTGGGTTCCTAATTAAGATATGTCATTTTCTTTATTTATTTATTGTTCCTTTCTTTAATAATATTGATATACTATATACTGCATTTAATATAATTATTAAATTAATTTATTCTATTTTAATTTGTTGTTAATTATTAAAACTTGTATTATAAAGATTGGTTTGCATTATTAGCTTAGAATTTGTATTTAGGACTAACCTAAATCTCCTAAGCTGGGCAAACTTCAAGAGATATTATTGGGTTTACAGCCAAAAATATTGTTAATTGTGATAGTATCCAACTGATGAAACACTGCATTGTAATCTTTATAAGTATATATACATGTAAGAAAAGTATATTCAATTAACTATGCTGAAAGCCAGGTAATTTTTATTTTTTCTCTAAATACATAGCTTACTCTGATCAGAAGATGTTATTATTCATAAATAATTTGTAAGATTGCAGATAACCACTAGGAGTTCAAAGACTCAGCTAAAAAGACACTGCAGCCCTTTCTTTCTGAGCTATTTCGAAATTTTCTATAGAGAAATAACTGTCTGACATTTTGTGTATTGAGACATTGCTAACACATGTAGCCCATGTTGATTAGTTCAGTAACAGCACACAAACCAGAGGCTGTCTGGCTAAAGCTACTAGTATATGTGGTGACATATAACAATGAGATATATGTATATGGAAATGTACATGTATGAATGACTTTATGGTCATATTTTTTGACATGTACATGAATCTTATACAAAGTAATTTATGAGTGTTGTATAATCAAGTACACAATTACACTGAGAACTCAACTGTCAAGCAGCATCGAGATGAAAATAAAGGATTTGATCTGGATTTTAAGACTGAAAATAAGAAGCAAACTATGATTAATAGCCTGTGAAGCTTATGACTGCTTACATGAAAAAAGATTCATGAAATTTTAAACTTCTTTGAAGTGTATTAAACAACAACAAAAACTTTGATTTGTCTTTTTTAGTTGTACTGAGATATTGCATCCATAACTTACTTTTTCTATTTTTAACATAATGTTAATACTGTAACATATTTTTTGCATACATTTACTTACTTACTTTGTTTATTTTATAATTGACAATTTTTTTCATTTATTAATTTTTGACAAATTGTGTATAATTTTTATTATTTAGATTTTTAAAGAGTCATTACAATAACACAATCTTATAAGAATGATGTTTTGTATGCTGTTCTAGTCACAATGAATCACTCAGCAATGTTATATGTATTACAATAATTTAAAGTAACTATTTGATCAGTTTGTACATCTTTGTCAATTTTACATTATCCTTTTAGACTCAATGAAACCTTAATGGCAAATATACTGACTCAAAATAGTAGTAAACATATATATGAACAGTGTATGACCTTTAAGTAACATTTGAGGAATATCAATAAATCAATGTTCTGATATGCATCTTAGTAGGTGCTATGTAAAATATGAGAGAACATGGTTTATGATCAGGTTGTTCTCTTTGAATCTGTTTTTATTTCACACTTCTTTCTTCTACTTTCATAAAACAATTATGGAATGAATTTCGTATATGAAATACCTTAATAAAATTTATACTTTTTTACAATGAGATTTAAGAATGACTTCAAATGATGTAAAATATAAAGGCATTTATTTTTCTGTTAAACGTAACTATGTTAAACTACATAGATTACAATAATCTTAGGCATATAAGCTATAATCTATACATATACAGCACAAAAATCTGTGTGCCTGTCTGTTTGTCCTTTATCTAACTACTCCAATGTCACTAGGCCAACCTCAACCAAACTTTGTGGGATGACAGTTTGGAATAATGGGCATGTTAATGGGGGTTCACAACCCCCTACATCCCCATTATTTCTGTTATTGAGTATTTATTACCTTTGACATAAGTTAACATTAATTACATTCATAGATGGCGCCATGTCATTACACTGAAAAAAAAAAAACTTTATTAAATTTTCTATAAGGCAGTATGAGGAAAGGCACACAAACATCTTATATATCTCCGAGAATTCACTAGCACTCTCTATGGAGGAATGCAATGAAAAAAGTGGCCACCACTACTGTTATACTACATAAATCAAGCTTAAGTTTCTACTCCAACAGTCACCATAAGACTGGTATGAAGAGCCACTTCTTACTTTGACCCATGACTTTCGCCCATAAGACACTCTTGCAGCCAATGACCATCTATTAATTAACCACATGAAACACTGTGGAAAGACATTAAGAACTGGGTGTTGAAAGTGGCACACTATTGCCACTACCTCTTTCTACAAAGTCACCCTGACCATTGCATAGTGTATACCATGTTTTGAGCATATACATATTGAGTTCTTAAAGCTTATACAAATCTTTTGGTGAGGTAATAATGAATACTGTGATAATGTGTTATATAAAAAAATTAATTGCATGAAAGTTAAATTTTTTTGTATTGTTTCTATTATATTATCCAATAACACTGTTAAAGAAAATGATTTCACTTTATATTTGCATGATTGGTCATTGTATAAAAGATTTATACACACTGAACAAAAAGCACTTTCCACAATGAATAAAACATTCACAGAAAACAATAACATACTTGAGCTATATATTTCTTCAAGAATGAAATTAATTTAAAATCTGAATCATCAAGAGCTTGATAGCAGTCTCTAATAATGCCGTGTAGAGACTTCTGTTGTATTTCCAGCAACTCTCCTAGCCAAATTTCCACATTTCCTTTGGCAATTATTGATTTTTCTAACTATAAAAATTCATTCAAATATTTTCAACTTTATTAATGAAATATAGTTGGATGTCACAAGATCATTAGCACAAATTATCATTCTTTAATGGTTTATCAAGTTTACTGTAAAACCATTGATCTGCATTTGACCAAAAACATAGTTTAAAAAAAACACAAAAATACTTCAAACATTTAAACCTAAAAATTAAGCCAACTGCCAATTCAAATAACAGTGTTTTATTAAACAAGAAAAAGTATCTTAATTTATAACAGTGTTTTAAATTTTACTTTTTTACAGTATAGAATTATTTAAAAATTTAACAAATATGTTGGCTTGAGACTGTAAAAGATTAAATGGTAATGGCAGAATGTTAAATAGAAGGTTTTTATGCTGAGTCCATGAAATGAGCTAAATGAATATAAAAATGGAAATAATATACCATTATCTCTTCTTCTTCTCTTGAATATACTGACAGAATGCGATCATAGTCTTTTTCATGAAATAACACTTTAGCCACATTCTCAAACACCCCCAGAAGATGAGCCTGAAATAATATATACAAGGATTAACTGACACACAAACAAATATATTATCAGTATTTCATAAGATGGCAGTTTGTACTTTCAAACATTTTAAAACTTACGTGGTATACAAGAAAAAATTACAATAGAAAGAAACAAACAGTGTATTATCAGTATTTTTAAAAATGTTCTTCAAATGCATAAAATGTTCTCATTCATATATTATATTACTTTATGAGAAAAATGATGCATTCAGTGTTAATTTTCAAAGTGAGTAGCACACACACCAATAAATTACAGCTTTAGGTCACATATATGAAAGAATCACTGAAAACCAAACAAAATTCAACTTTATAATGCTTGAGATGAAACTAAAACCGTAAAAATGATATTAATAGTTTCATTTGCATAGAAATATGAAAAATACAATGAAGTTTTTAACAAAATGACAATAACATGTATTATGTACAAAAAAAATTTATGTAATTTTCAAGTTACAATATTTTTATTTATTATTTACAGAAAACTTATTTTAGTCATTAAGTTATTACATACATTAAACCTTTTAAAAATATATTTTCTAAGAAGTTCTGAAATTATTTAACAAAAAACATTACCATACCAATTCTATACTTAACAAATAAATTTTAACATAATTTTGAGTTTCTAGAATAAATAAAAATATTCTAGTCAACACCTAAATAAATATTTGTTTCTAAACCAACCTGAATTGTATGGGAATCACTAGCTTGACCAAGAATTTCTAAAAGTGTTGGATCTGACACAAAAAAGAATCTAGGAAAAACAAGGCGCTTGCTTTCCAAATACCTGTGAATATAACAACTCTAAGTTTACTTTTCCTATTGACTAACATAATCCATAACGTACTGAAAATCTTAACTGAATAGACTTAAGTGCAGCATCTTTTTTAAAAACTTTACATATTTACTTTTTATGTAGTTGTGCACTTAATGTTTTTTCTGATATTACTTATAATGATGACTGTTTAAAACTATTGAGCCCATTTCAAAATATAATGTATAGATATAGCTGAACTTTAGTTCATTAACTTACAAATATAGAAAGAGTTGATTACATTATATTAATATGACTTTGGAGCCTCACCATGTTATCAGTTTTCATGTTACCATGTCTAATTATGTTTTATTTGATGACTTTGCATCTTTAGAATAGCTCTGCAGTGTATTTTTCATTGTAAAATGCTTCAGTATATCACTTTCATGTCCAAAGCACATCAGTGTTTCCTGATATGTTTCTATTATCCATCTATGAACACTACTTTCATTCTTCAGTTGTTTGATGTATGCAATGATTAGACTGGAGGTATGAATAAAAAAATTCATCAAAGTAAACTCATACTCTATTGACATTGTTTCCAAATGGAGATCCTTCTTGATTATATTATATAAAATTGAATGGGACACATGGACTTTTATTGCCATTGATCTTTTTTTTGTTCATGGGTTCTCATTTAACTTTTACATGACAATGCACTTTGTTTACTACAGCTGAGATACAGCTTGTTGCACGTCTCTTTCTAGTCTGTCTTTTGCATATTCAGAATCCTTTTAGGATAAAGCACTCAACCCTCAAGTCATAACTGTTATGATGCGTGAAAAACAAAATCTGTTAGATCTGACATCATTGTTAATAACCAAATACTTACTTTATCCTTAACAGTATAGCTAGTTAAATGTCTACATAATTTAGCTTTTCTAATATATGTATAACTACATAAAAACTGTAAAACAATTAAATTTGCTCAGCTGAATGTGAGTAAAATGAGTTGAGCTTAAAGTTATGAAAATTAATATATGAAATTGAGCATTAAATTATGAAAATTAATAAATAAAAAGGATAGATCACTAAATTACAAAAATTAAGAAAATATGATTTTATAGTAACATTAGCCTTTGTGTGAGAATGTGAACATGTGCTACTGAAACAGATTAACAATGCCTATGAATAAGCCAAATGTTATTTACGTGAAATAAAGATGTCGATTGTTTTAGCATCCTGTAGTTTTGTTATTACTTAGGCCTTAAACAAGGTTTACAAAAAGACAGTTGTAACTTTGTATGGGACATGTCTCAATTATTTCATGAGAATAAAGACACTGATTATCTTTACCATTTGCAATTGCATCACTAACTGGCTATGGATAGAGTTTTCATAAAAACAGCTGTAAAAACGTAAGACTTAAGAGTGTAAGGTAAAGTACATATCAATAACTTCTACAAGTGTAGATGTTTGTTGAGATGAATATTTAGCACTGTAGAAAACTAAGTAAAATTCTCATCAGCCAAAGACTCATTTGACATGGGTTCAGTAGGTTAGTATGCATATGTGTTACATGATAATAACCCACATTACTAATATACTGAACCACAAAAGAAACGTCGCATATTTCGAAAACTATAATTTTCAAAAACATCGAAAAAAATTAATTGATTTA